GGTGTGGGTGGGGGAGAGGCTGATGGGCGCGATGGGGCGGTCCGTGGTGGGGGCAGCCTTGGAAGGAAGTTTGGGTCCTGGTAAAGCTGGTTCCTGGAGGAAAGCTCCTGGGCACCGGCTGAGGGGAATGAGCAGGTGAGCGAGCACCCGGCCCCCTGTGGGGTTTTGGATGCTCAGTCCCATGTCCTGCACACGGCGCCTTCTGGGGAAGTGGCCGGGGCCTGGCGTAGGTTAGGTGTGGTGATGGCATGGTGCCTCTGCCTTGTGCCCGTTGTTTCCTTTGCAGAGGTCCCATTGCCCAGGGTGGGGAGCAGCAGGGGTTTAGTGCCATGGGCACTGCGCAGCGTGCACCATTGGGTTGCACTAGGGCCTGGGACAAGGCTCGCCCAGCATTACGTGTTTCCCCAGGCCCAGTGTGAGCAGGAGGAGCCTTTCGCAGCTCATTGAAGCCGGGCACCTTGTTTCTCCGATTGGCTTATGCCTCTGATAGCAGGCTTGAAGTTGACAGGCCTGTTTGTTATTAAGGCAGCAGTAGGCTTACGCCTATAAACCGCCCTCAGTTAGGGAGGCAACTAGCTATATAAGAAGAGGTTCTGGGGACAACAGAAGAAAAAACAGGAACTTGAGTTTGCATCTGTGGTTAATAATGATTGTTGCAAGGAGGGGGGCACCAAGCAGAGCACACCAGCCAGGGCCCACTGCCCCGCAAACAAGTCCAAGGATCCTGTGGACGCTGCTCAGTGAAACTGCCTGGAGTTGTGGATGGATGAGGGACAGGAAAACAGCCCCGCAGTCTCTAGGGTTCCCCCTGAGCAGAGCCTCCTTCCCTGTTTGATACATGGCTGCTGGCTCTTGACATTGACACAGTCTGGTTGTTCAAGGCTGCTTTAAAAGCTTGGATAGTGATGGGTCCCACTCCATTTCCCAAATTATGCAGTTACCTACAGCGGGACCAAAAAGTCACAACACACTTAAGTAGCATGCAACTGATAGGCAGACAACTGAAGTTTGTTACAGTGTAAGCAAGAGGCAAAACATTGGGACCTGTGTGGTGCTGTGCAATAAAGTGAATTATGTGCTTACCCTATGTGCTCAAGTGGTGAACATTGTAGCTTATGTAGTTATGTGGCCCTGGATGTTACTTCAGTGCCATGGGCCTTCTTGGCTGATCCTTACTTGTTGGTCCATTGCACCACCTAATCAGAAAAGTCATGAAAAGACAGTTCTTCTCTTCAGCTTTCTACTTCAAGTTTGTCTAGGTCAATTATTCCATCATCTGCATGCTGTCCTGCCTCAAGTCAATTGCCAAATGTCATACCTACTCAAACTTTTAATTTGACCTTAACTTCGTTCTCTGTGCTAACTTTCTTTTCCATCTCCTATTTTCTGTTCACCAAACCTTAATAGAAAATTCTCTATGAGCTGCAGTTTCTCCTGTGTGTCTTTTAGCCATACATTTGGGATGTTTGAGGAAACAACACTTTTTGCAATATTTTCAGCTACCTGTTTTAATTCTCATTTAGCTGTTCCCAGCTGGGTACTTTGTGTAGAAGAATAATTAATGGTTCCACTTTAATGTTTCCAGCATGGTATGATGAGCAGTCCTCAGAGGAGTGTCCCATGTCATTCTCTGCCCCTGGAGTCAGAACTTAATCAGTTCATGAATAGGCTATAAACAAGAGAAATAGCATGCTCAGCATGTGCACTTTAATTTCCTTATTAACTTAAGTGCGTAAGTGTGATGATGATTTTTTTTTCCTGTAGTTGCGAAGGTGTACTGACAGGTACATGCACAAATAAGCATGTTTAAGTACATCTATTTGAATTTGAAATTCCCAGTTAATATAACTTCAGGTATTGCAAAAATCCCTGAAAGTATGGCCAATGAAAACGCATCTTTTGCCTCTTTTAATATTCTTTGGGAACTACAAAATGATATTAGTGTAATCCTATAGAGAAATTAAAATACACAGGGGCCAAAAAGTTAAGATTTGGATCCATCAATGCTATGATTCAGCCCATTAAACATTTATTAAGACACTAAAGATAATATTGGATAATCAGGAACTGAATGCATCCTTTTAGTTATTTATTTACTTTTGTATAACAGGTTTGGTTATAATCATTTTAAGTGAGGCTTCCAGTTTTCCCTTTTTGTCAAATAAAAGCATTAGATGAGTAAGAAGATATAAGTACACTGGGTTGGTGAACAGCTGATGTCCTTGACAATGGATTGTCTGAATGAACTGCACATACTTAAAAAAAACCCATGGGAGCCTACGTAGCAAGGCTGCTCTGATGCGCTGTAATTATAGTGCATCGGAGCAGAGTCAATTAATTGAGTCTGCTGGAGTGTGGTAATTAATGTGCTCCAGCAGACTCCAGTGTCTTGTGTATTAGCATCCCCGTGCTGAAAAATTGCAGCAAGGGCTCTTGCTAGTTAACGTACCCCACCACCATTTTTCAGTGTGGGGACGCTGATGTGCAAGATGCTCCGAGCGTTTTAATTAGAGTGGCTCTGAGAGCCGCTGTAATTAAAGGGCCCCCCTCTCTTCCCCTCCCCACTCCCTGAGCATGTGTATAGACGCCCCATGTTTCTACAGTCCCCATGGCCAACTCCTTTCTTCTGGGCAATATTTGTTAACTTTGTAGCAGTTACGCAAGTTTTTCCCCAAAAGAGCTGGCTATTTTCAAGCCCTAGTAATGCAAATATTTGTTGTAAGTGGATGCTAGGTGAATAAATGATACGCCACACTGTAAATATATCTGGTAATAGGAGTCCATCCCATAGAGCTGATAAAAGTTCTTGATCAAAGATGCATTTTGCTTTAGACATTAGTCAGGCACAGATTTCCAGGTACAGTGTATTGAAAACCAAAGGCCTGCTAGCCAGGGTGCATATCACTGCCTGACTCC